TAGTTCATATTATTTATGAATATGTTAAAATTTTTTTAGTTAAATATTTAATAGTTTACAGTTTATATTTAAAAATATGTGAAATATCTAATAGTTACAGTTTATGTTAAAAGTTTAAATTTAAAAAATGTATTCGAAAGTTGTATTTGATAATAGTAAGTTCTTGAAAATGGCCTATTGGAATTGGGCTGAAAACATTTGAAATTAAAGTACAGTAATAATAAGCTCAGCAAGCGTTGGGTGTTTTATTTATATTTGTTTCCATACCTTCAATTGTCCCAATTGTTCGTGGACTTCACGTCAAGCTAAAGACACTAGAAAATTCTGTTACTACAGAATGTAGTAAAAAGTTATTGCAATCATTAAAAGATTAAATGGTTACAAAACACAAACCGTATGTGGCATTTCACCAATTTTAGATCCTAGATTCAAAAGTCTCGCTTTTCGACTCAAGGAGAACTACATAAATTTTTCAAAAGCAATAACAAATGAACTTGAAAATATAATAAATTCAACTTCAATGGATGCTGAACCATCTGGACTCTAAAATGAACAAGAAAATAAAGAAATAAGCCTAAATAATGCATCTGATCTTTTTGATTTTTTTAAAAAAGAGTAGACATTCACCAAATACAAATAATTCAACAGCAAACGCAATTATTGCTTTCTGGCAGTATATCGAACGACCGACCTCTCGAGCCTTCAGATTCCGACCCGCTTCAATTTTGGGTCAACAATGGTAGCTATCCTTATTTTGATAATCTGAAAACAATTTATCACAAATATGGTTGTATTTGTGGTTCCTGTCAGCTTCGAGAGAGCCTTCTCGACAGCAGGGGCCTACAATTTGGGGGTATAAAAATATCGATAAATACCGATGGGTATCACTATCGATAGTATCCGACCACTACTAAACACGTGCTTTTCATAATTTACGAAACTAAACATTAGTCGACAGAGATTTAAAATAATCTTTCAAAACTAATTAGAAATTTATTTATACAAAATTCAAAACTGATTTAAATAAAATATACTCAAAATCAAACGTTACCATTTAAATGGATCAAAATAAAAACTTTTCAAGACGGATACCGCACCACTACCGGGCATCGTGGACCACTTCTTTTAGATAATTGCCAACTTAATTTCAAAAATCGCAGAAACCATTGAGAAAATCGCCCAAAAATAGCCTTTAATATAAATCTTATATATAAAATAATTTAAATTTTTTAACGAAGCAACGAAGCAAACATGTTTAAAAATTATTTATTCTAATATTTTTTTGTTTATATTTGAGCATTTTATACATTTTCATAATACAGTCGAAAAAATTATAATTAAGAATATAACGGTCCTCCATATTGGAGGTAATATTAAATTAATAACGCTGATTGTTTTTAGAAGAAAGTTGTCTATGTAAAATTCCATTTTATTAAAGTATATTTGATTTTAAATCATTCTCCTCGTAAAGACAAAAAAAAAATACGGCCGGATGGCCGAGAGGTCAACATGGCTGCCTACCGTTCTGGGGGATCCGGAATAGCATCGGCTGCGTTTCTTTATGCAGCGAGAGTGCAGCGTAAATGACGTCACGAGCAGCTATTGCTACACGTCGCTGCATCATAGTTTAGAAACGCTTTCCGCTCGAGCGAAACATGAACGTTCATAATCTATCCTTTAATTCCAGTTACAGCCGAAAATACTGCTTTAGTTAAAGAACTACAATATTTAAATAAAGAGATATAAAGAATCTAGCATTTATCTTTCCATAAATGTGAACAAAGTAAAGAGATAAAAGATATATAATTATATTTAAAACTAGCAGACCCCGCCACGCCTTGTTGTGGCTCAAAATGTATCTATTATAAATGTATAACACTTCCCCCCTAGGAGAAAATTTTTCGAAAAATTTCTTCTTAGTGTACATTCTCTTGACGTACCCTATTAAAACGCAATCAAAAATGCAAAAACCCGCATCTAAAATAGTATAATAGAAGCCAAGTTTTTCACAGTAAGCCTTAATCCTGTCCCTCTCCCCC